ATGGGGTTGAGGAACTTATCAGCCATGACTGAATGGCGGAGCAGACTCAATGGGCCGAATAGCCTAATTTCTGCTCCTCTGTCTTATGGTCTTATGGAAGTTACCTCTGGAGTATTGAATACTTCTAGGCCAGCCTTCCACATTCTACCCTGACATTTTTGGCTATCAAAAACTTTGCTGCCCATGTCCCAAATCACACCAACCCCAGATCATCTATTATCCTTGTGCAAATTTACCTATGCTGGCTCCCAGGTAAGCAACAGTTTGATATCCTGCTATTGCTTCTTCCTTCCTCGCTTCTCATCACTTTCAGGGATCCAAAGATATCTGTAGTGCTCCAATTCTGGCCTCTTCATGATCCCAATTTTAACGAGTTGACATTTTGATGTGCCTTCACTTGCCAAGACTCTCCATTCTGAAGCTCTTTCCTTAATCCTCCAAGCCTCTGAATTGCTTTTTCTTCTTATAAGTCATTCCTAATAAGTGTCTCTTTGACAAGCTCTTAATCACTGCTCGAATTCCTTCCTAACAAATTTTGCTTGTCATGCTCCTGTAAAGTGTCTCAGAACATTTTACAATATCGAAGGTATAATATAAATTCAAACCATTGTTGATCATAATGGAAAGCATTAAATCGAAAGGCAATCCAACCTCTTTCAATCAATGTAAGGTAATAGTTTCAAGCCATGCAGTCATATACACCTGAAGCTCAGAACTTCTGATTTCTTTCAAATCAGGACTTAGCCTTTCTTAGACAGTAACAATTAGTGGCTTATGAAACACAGACAGCCACAAGAATAAATACAAGTAAAACTAAATCATAATGTTTTAAAACAGAAGAAAACAACAACTTTTTTCCAAAAACGAAGCTCAACCTGCAGTTGATATTAACAGCATTACAAACAACTTAAACAGCCAGAGTGCACCTCATTGGTGAGCTTGAGCTCCAAGCTTTTCAATCACTGCCCAAAGATGCAGTCACATACTCCTGCCCACCTAACTGAGGCCATTATTTTTAAAAGAAAAAAAACAGCAGACTGCCACGTGCAGTGCCTGACTTGGGCGCATCTCATGTCTTGGAGCCTGACTTCAGTACATCGTCGTTCAAATGGTCTTAAATGTTTGGACGAGCAGGGGAGCATCACTACACCACACACCCCAGACTGGCAGAGCGGCCCTTTTCTAGGAGCTCATCCTCTACGACCGAGTACTGAGTTTCACAAGGGATGCGCGTGTTGCCGTGACGGAAGGGGTCACTGGCCCAGCCAGCCAGCTGAATCAACCCGAGGGATCAATGGGGTGACAGATGCTGCGGTCAAATTACCCTCACAGCCTCCTCCTGTAATTCGTGAAGGCTCAAGGTCAGCAGTTTACCAATGTGTTAACCACATGGAAAAGAAACAAACAAAACAAACAATGTATGGAAAATTACTGACAAACATAAATATGGATGAGAAACAAGACTACTGTGAAAGACACAGTACTGGATCTGGCTTTATAAAAAAAGAGAGAGAGAAATGAAAAGAAAGACAGACAGACATTGCGCTAAAGTACAGAAGAGCGCAAACAAGGAGATTGACTTACAAAATAGCAAAACCAACAAGAAAACCAGAGACCGATCCTCAAAAGGTACCAACACCTGAACTATGAGCATTCCTGAATAAATAAGAGAGGTGATTGATTGTTCAAAGTTTGGCATTGAAGATATGCATTCTGATTTATGGGGCACTGGCCCCAGTGCTAGAAGACAGCAGCAACACCGTTCACCAAAAACATGCCTTGGCAAATCTTATTATTACATCTCTACAGGCAGCTGTAACCTACATAGCTGGGGGAAATTCACATATGGCAAGATTTGGAAAATTTAAGAGAAAGGACAAGGCACTAACACAGTATCATGATATGGTGAATGATAACCGAAGTGTTGTAAGTAGTCAAAAATCTTACTAACACAAGGGTGTACCAGCACATATGGTCAGAGTCTAGAAAATGGTAAAAACACCAAGTTAAGAACTCTTTATGTGAATGTATGCAGCACTTATAAAAATGAGGATGAATTAACAGCATGAATAGAAATAAATGCATCTGATAGGCATTACAGAGATATGGTTACAAGCTTACCAAGGCTGGGACCTGAATATTCAAGACTGTCTGACATTTTGGAAGGACAAAATCAAGGAAATTGACCCTGAACTTGTTTAACAAGGATCACTCTTGCATTTGTGGTTCAATGTCTGGCATTTGACACATGGGGGTTTAATCACAAGAAATGTATGAGTGACTTGCTGTGTTTAACATTCCTTGATCTAAGGGATGTCTGTTGGCAGATCTGGCTCAGGCAAGTTGCTATAGGTAGGGACTCAGGTGGAAGGCAGGCAGTAGGTGGTTTGAACAAATTATGTAGAATTCTAAGTGAGATAGACACACAGACAATTTAGCCAGCTTGTTGACTTTCAGCTGTACATAGGTGGATCAGAGATCAATGTGTGCAAGGACAAGATACCACGACTGAGGTTGAATGATGGTTCCAGTTATCATGCACATTGTTGCTTTCAATTGAGTATCTACAAGATGTGTGCATGAAGACCTACGTCAGACACGTGCAAAATACTATACTGTAGATTTTAATAGGGTAAGTGCTGAGGGTCTAATTGTTGTGGCAATTAGCACCCTACATAGATCCAGTAAGTTTGGTTAATAGGACATTTCCGGTTTTGAGCTTTGCTGCTGTTTCTTTAGACATTCCCAGGAGGACAAAATCATACCTATCTCGAATCACTCCCAAGTATACTGGCCTTGGGATCACATTTTAGTCTCTCACAACCTATATATATCTGCAATTATTTTACAGCACTGGCATTGTGGAGGTACACTAAATATAGTTTTAGAGGGTTTCAAAGTGAGATGTTATGTGCTTTTCTAAGCCATAAACATTAGAAAGTCTTCATTAAGGGTTTGGTGCAGAAGCAAGGAATTTCAGTGGCACATTAGATGTCATCAGCTGAGACAGACTACCAAGACATGGCTGTTGGCAAATCATTTATATATGTGTTGAACAATATTAGGGCTAGCATCGAGCCCTGTAATAGTCAGCTGGCCAGTCTTTTCATGCACATCGCCCTTGTCCAAGGCGAATTCTAAATCATCTGTTACAAAAGATTGTTTCAGCAATTGTCCCAACCCATGTTGGAAGCATACTGGACAGCTTTAAGGACAAGCCACCACGCCACACTATCCCAGTAGCACCATACTTGTCTTCAGATTATCTTGCAAGCCATTTTTGATATCAATGATAAGTGCCAGAATTTGATCACATGCCACGACCAATACAGAAACCTGCTTGGTCAACATTAAAAATGCTCTCTACTTAACATATGCATTGTAGGATAAGACACTCAAAAGATCATAAAGTCTGCAGAAAGTAGTAAAATTGGTCAATAGCTGGCCACCTGAGAGATTTTTTCCAGTTTTGGAGTTGCAAAGATTTTTGTCATGTCATACATTTGAGAGTGTTTGAGTTGTTGATGCACAAGTAGGGTCCAAGTTGTGTGGAGAATTCAGTACGGTGTAGTCATGTGCCATTACTTTACCACATGTCAGGTCGCTTAAAACTTTCTCCAGTTCAGTCATGTCAAAGTGATCAGGGCTACCATATTCTGTATCCTTTTAGCATTAGTTTTCAGCTTCTCAGAGATGACACACTTTTTTTAAACGCCTGAAGTTCCTCACTACTGGAGCAAATGACTAGCAACTTAGTTCAGAGCATCTGATGGGAAATTTAGTCCAGGTGATCTTTGGACTGCTCATGATGATAAATCAGGCCCCAGCACTTTCAACTTTCACACCACCAGCACAAAGACAGTTAATTTCCATTTCCACGACGTCACCCATCTCTGCTCAACCTCAAATCATTGACTTAACTATTCATGTGCATTCCAGGTCAGCCTCCAAAATTCTACATTCCATTAACTTTACCAAGTAACATTCTGTTTCCGGCTGATATCAGGCCCATAAGTACCAACCCTGAGCTTGCTGACCTCGAATGGCTGCCAGTCGGGTAACACCACTACTTAACATTTTCATCTTTGATTTCAAATTCTTCCATTGCCTCACCCCTGCCTATCCCATATGTTCTTGAAACTTATAACCCACCACAATATCTTTGTTTTGTCAGCTACAGTCTTGAAGATCCCCGATTATTTTCCAAGTACTTAGCTCATAATGTTCTAAAATCCCTCCTTGTGCCTCTTCACTTTTCTTTCCTTCTTTCTACTCCTTAAAAAACCTAGCCCTGATCAAGCTTTTGGCCATTTGTCCTATTGTCTCAGATTTACTTTAGCGTGAAATGTCAATGCTCCTGTGTGACACCGACTGACAACTTACTTCAACTTGAAGTAAGCAAAGTAACTTGAATTCAATACATGGCTCCTAAAGTTTCATGGAAGCATCTTCAGACCTCATAAAAACAAAAAAAAACTTGAACAGGCCACCTCTATACTTATCTTTGGTAACTATAATTGCACATTGTTGATCCATATCCACAATGGAAGATGCATAACAAATTGCACAAAATAAAGAACTGCGACGGTACTGATTGAATCTTGTTAACTAGCCCTGTAATCTCCATGACTTACATATCCAAGTAACTTGTTCTACATTTGTCTCTTGTTGTCGAACGCTCGCTATTGAAGTACTCCCTTTAAAGTTATGGACAGTGGTAAGCTTAATGTTGTCTTTCGGTTTTGAAGAGTCATGGAAAACAAAACACAGGAAACACTTTGCCAGATAATTTAATATTTGCTTAGTGTTAAAACTTAAAAAGTTTAGGGACTTCACAATTTGGTCATTTTAAAACGTCGGCTATTTTGTGATCACTCTGGGATGTCGCCCTGTTTCGTGAGTCTGACTGTCTATCACACGCCTCCCTCCCGTTCGGCCCGAGCCAATATCAACAAGCGGCACGGGGGTCAGAGGGGTAACCGAATAGACGCGTCACGAACCTGCCTGGGACCTTGGAAACATTCCGCTTCCAGAACTGCTTCTTCCCCCCTTCACTGGACATTTTCCAGCCAAGCGCGCCCCGCCTTACACCAAACGTCGGGCACAAATCACAGCCGGGGGTAACCGCAAGCGGTTCGGTTTACAGTACTTCCCCATACGACAGCTTCCCAGTCACAACCAGAGCGACGCCATGTTGCCGACCAACAAACATCTTTCCTATTGGTTTGAATCTCCGAAGTAACGGTCACACCAATCAGAGGCGGCGTTCCGTCGATGTCCTCCGGACGGTCGATGGCGTCACAAAACGGCTGTGCTCTCAGTGACGTCACGGGGATTTCACAGTGAGGAAGATGTTCGTCTGCTGTGTTGCTGTCCATTTGTCTGCACATCCCAGCATCCAGAATTTATAATTAAGCAATCATTCAAAATTCTTGCAAGCTTGAAGAAAAGCACTTGGAAAAAAGGCAAAAGGAGGTAACTGGACTGGACCAAAACTCTGCAAGTCACTAGTGAAACCATACCTGCAATACTGTGAACAGGTTTAGCTCGCCTTTTCTCAGGAAAGATATACCAGCATTAGAGGCAGTGCACAGAAGGTTCACTAGGCTGATCCTAGGCATGTAGGGATTGTCTTATGAGGAGACGTTGAATAGATAGACCTGTACTCTTTGGAGTTTAGAAGAATGAGAGGCAATTGTATTGAATCATACAAGATTCTTAGCGGGCTTGACAGAGTAAATGCAGAAAGGTTGTTTCCTCGAGTGTAAGATTCTAAGACCAGAGGGCAGAATCTTATTGTCAGAGATTGCACATTGAAGACAGAAATGAGGAAAAAAAGAATTTCTTCCCTCAGAGAGTAGTGAATCTGCGGAATTCTTTACTGGAGAGGACCATTGAGGTGGGGTCATTAAGTAATTCAAGGCCAAGATAAATAGAGTTTTAATCAGTAAGGGAATCAAGGGCAAAAGGAGGAAAGTGGAGTTGAGGATTATCAGATCAGCCATGATCTTATAGAATCGTGAAGCAGACTTAATGGACCAAATGGCCTAGTTCTGCTCCTATTTCTTATGGTCTAAGTCTCTGTCCTAGTGTAAGATGGGCAACCTGAAAGTCCTTATGCCATGCAGTGACCAATGAAGCTGAAAAATCAAGAAGGAAAATCTAGTAAAGCTAGGAAATACTGGTTTGATCCGTCTTGTCGATGTTTAGCTTCAACTGTTCGGGCACATTATAATACATGGCTGAGCGGGGGGATCTTGAATGTGGCCATCTGGCCGAGAGACAGGGACACTATTAATGGACTCAGAGATTAAAAAACAGTTTTAAAAATACTGTCATACTTGGAAATAAACATACTCTTCATACTCTGCTGGAGCATTGTTCTAAGGTATACAAAACAAGTCGGACCAGTATGCATCATTCACAGGTTTTACCGTTTCATCTTTCTTGGCAACAAGACCCTCCTGACCCATCTTATGTACTTTAAAATGGATGTCCAATTTGACCTGTGTGTTAATTCCCAAGTATTATTGCCTTTTTACTGCTTTTTCCCCCTAGGATGTGCGGAATTTGAAAAACTGTAGCCATGTGTTTAGGCATTCATTGAATGTTTTGAATACACAAAGCTAAATGACAGTGCTAGTAAACAGGAGGAGTCCATCTGTGCTGTTTAAAATTTTTCTCAAAGTATTGTCCCAAGTGTAACTTCCATATCAGAAACAAATCAAAATGTGAGGAATGTCTCAGCCTCAGATGAAATGTCAATGAAATAAGACACTGGGAGAAGAGTGAGTGTGGAATACTTGTATGTTGACACTGTTTAATCTAGGCTGAGTAGTAATGAGTTAAAATAATACATGACTAGGAGCACTGAAGTAGGGAAACTTTAGCTTTATGAAACAGTATATATTGCTGTAACTGCCACCTGCCTTTCCCTTGTCTGAGAAGTCACGTAGGATAGATAGTAGAAAGCTAGGGCTCGCAGCATCTGTACACTCTTATCTTCACTGCATTCTGCTTTAATTAATGTATGTCTGGTTGCCTAAGTAATGATCTTGCCTTGCTAAAACACAGTACACTTGCAGTTTGTTTTAACTTGTTTGTACCACTGTATAAATTTTGCTTCTTTTTTGTGCTTTTCAGAGTCTGTGGACCTGACCTTTTGTCAGCATTGATTCTCCGTGATATCACGAATAAAATCTCTTTGTCTCGAAGTCTGGGCCTTTGGTGCATGATTTAATCTAATCTCTTCGACAGTGAGATCTCAATGTAAGGGGCATCAAGGGAAATCCACAGGTACATTTTGAATTCTTAAGTAACATAAGTACATGAAAATTTCCTATGTTGTTTATGCTTTATCAGTTTATGCTTAATCAATTAATTTGTTTCTGATATGGAAGTTTAAAAACTGCATCGCCAATAATGCAGATTCCAAGCTCAAATTCTGGAATATAACATGAGTCCTAAAGCCTCTGACTCAAACACAAGAACTATCAACTCAGCCAAAATTTATGTTTGATATCAAAAGTAACTGAATAGTAGCATCAGCTAAAAAGATGACAGATGTATGATATATATTCTGTAGATTATAAATTGCAGTCAAATGTTATTGTTTCTTCAGTGTGAATAAATTGTCCAGTGTCCTGCAGAAATAATTGATAGGACTAGTGTGAATTTTGCATCATACTGACAGTTACAATACCATTGCTTAAGGATAGTCCAGAATGGAGGCCAATAACATAGGAAATACTAAGGGGCAAAAAACATTAATGGGTGTGGTATGTAGACCCACCAAACTATAGTGATGATGTTAGGAATGGCATGAACCAGGAAATCAGAAATGCATGCGATAAAGGAACATCTGTAGTTCTGGGTGACTTTAATCTGCGTTAAGTTTGGACGAATCAAATTGATCACAGTACGTCAAGAAGGAATTCATGGATTGTATATGGGAGGGTTTTTTGGACAAATACATTGAGGAGCCAACTAGTAAACAGGCCATTTAGGGTATTATACAATGAGAAAGGAATAATTGGCAATGTAGTTGAGAGAAACTTGTTGAGGATCAGCAACCATAATATAATTGAATTTTTCATCAAGATGGAGAGTGAGATAGTTAATGCTGAGAATAGGGTCCTGAATCTTAATAGGGGAAACTACAATGGTATGAGATGTGAGTTGGCTGTGCTGACTTGGGAAATGTTACTGAAAGGAACAACAGTAGATATGCAATGGCAAACATTCCAAGAGCAAATGAATGAATATCATATATTGTTTATTCCTGTGTGGCGCATGAGTGCAAAGAGAACAGTGGACAAACCATGGCTTATGAGGAAAGTTAGAGAGTGTATTAGGTGCAAAAGAGAGGCATACAAATTGCGAAGAAAAATCAATAGACCTGATGTTTGGCAATGGTTTAGAATTCATCACGGAGGACCCAGGGATCCATATAAAAGGAAAAATAGAGTATGAGAGTAAGCTTGTGGGTAACATAAGAACTGACTTTAAAAGGTATGTACAGAGAAAAAGACTGGTGAAAACTAATGTAGGTCCCTTAAAGTCAGAAATGAGGGAATTTATAAAGGGAAACAAAGAAATGGCTAACAGACTAAATTCAGACTTTGCTTCTGTCTTCACAAAGGAGGACATGAGTAATGTCCCAGAAATGCTGGGGAATAAAGGATTTATTGAGATGCAGGAACTGAAACAAATCTGTCTTACCAGAGAAATGGTGTTGGAGAAATTGTTGGGATTGAAGGCTGATAAATCCCCAGTGCCTGATAATCTACATCCCAGATAATTTAAGGAAGTGGCCCTAGACATAGTAGATGCACTGGTGTCATCTTCCAAGATTCTTTAACTCTCGAACAATTCCTACAGAAAGGAGGAAAGTTAATGTAACCCACTGTTTAAAAAGGGAGGCAGAAAAAAAAAGTGAACTACAGACCATTGGGTCTGACATTGGTATGGGGAAGTTGCTTGAGCAAGGATTTTATAGCAGAGCACTTGGAAAACAGTGGTAGAATCAAACACAGTTGGCATGAATTTACAAAAGGGAAATGATGCTGCCTGGCCTGCTGTGTTCATCCAGCTCTACACCTTGTTATCTCAGTAGGAATAACTGGGTCTTTTTGAATGCAGGTAGTGACTAGTGGGGTACCACAGGAATCGGTGCCAGTTATTCACAAGATATGTTCATGACTTAGATGAAGGAACTAAATGTAATATCTCAGAATTTGCAAATGACATAAAGCCGGGTAGAAGGGTGAGTTGTGAGAAGGATGCAGAGATGTTGCAGTCTGATTTGGACAGGCTGAGTGACCAGGCAAATACATAGCAGATGCAGTATGATGTGGATAAATGTGAGGTTATCCACTCTCGAAAGCAAAAATAAGAAGAATCATTTGAATGGCTGTACATTGTGAGAGGGGAACGTTCAACAAGACCCGGGTACCCTCTTGCACCAGTAGGTGTGCGGGTGCAGCAGGCAGTAAAGAAGGCAAACTGTTGTCTTCTGTAGGGAGAGAATTGTAGTTCAGGAATAAGAATGTCTTGCTGCAGTTATACAGGGCATTGGTAAGACCATACCTGGAATATTGTGTACAGTCCCCTTATGTGAGGAAAGATATTTCTTCCGGCAAGATGGCGGCAGGGTAAGTCGCTCCATTTAGAGCTCCACTCTGCTCACCAGCTCTCTTTCTTTCTTTGTCCTTCCTGTTTTTTCTCTCTTCTTCTCTCTCCCTCTGTAGTAATTCTATACTCCCCCCACTTAACTACCTTCCTAAGGAGTCGGGAAGGAGCCGGGCTGCAACCAGGAACCATGTGGCAGGAGCCGAACGCGCGGGTTGTGTCCTGCAGTGTCAGCGGATCGAGCATGGGCTGGAGCGACAGCAGCGGATCAAGAGTGGACCAGCGAGAGCAGGCCGGTGAGGCAGCCCAGAGCAGGATGCTGGCAGTCGCATAGCAAGGGCTGGAAAGCACTGAGCAGGACTCTGGCAGAGGCATGGCGAGGGCTGGAAAGCACTGAGCAGGACTCTGGCGGAGGCATGGCGAGGGCTGGAAAGCACTGAGCAGGATTCTGGTGGAGGCATGGCAAGGGCTGGAAAGCACTGAGCAGGACTCTGGCAGAGACGTGGCGAGGGCTGGAAAGCCCTGAGCAGGACTCTGGCAGAGACGTGGCAAGGGCTGGAAAGCCCTGAGTAGGACTGCAGCAGTGGAGAGGAAAGTTGGACTCTGTTAAGTTTTTTTTCTTATCTCATTCTAAGTTAATGTGAATAGCGCCATTTATCTACGGCAAAGGTACACATTTTTCACTGTATTTTTACATTGAATACACGTGACAATAAATGACTCAATATTCTTGCTATAAAGGTAGTGCAGCAAAGGTTTAACAAATATATTCCTAGAATGGCAACACTGACGTATCAGGAGAGATTGAGTCGGTTAGGATTGTATTAATTGAGTTTAGAAAAATGGGGCGATCTCAAAGAAACTTATAAAATCCTAACAGGACTAGACAGGTTAGATGCAGGAATGATGTTCCCAATGGTTGGAAGTCCAGAATCAGGGATCATATTTTATAGATAAGGGTTAAACCTTAAGATGGAAATGAAAAGAAACTTCTTCAGCCAGAGAAGCCTGTGGTGAGCCTGTGGAATACACTACCACAGAAAGTGGTTGAGGCCAAAACATTACGTGCTGTCAAGAAGGAGGTAGATATAGTTCTTGTGAATATAGGGATCAAGGGATATGTGGGGAGGGCAGGATTAGGGTATTGAGCTCAACAATCAGCCATGATCATATTGAATGGCAGAGCAGGTTCAAGGAATCGAATGGCCTATTCCTACTCCTGTCTTCTATGAAACATGAATGTCAGTAGTCCTGGGCACTGAAGCATTACCAAACCGCAGCTAGAACTTCAAAGAAAACATCTGATTACCCCTGCTCAACTGTTTCAGGATATGGAAGTTGTTACAGTGACTGAGATTTTCTTTGTTTTACCTGGACTTTAGATGTCTTGCATTTGGCGGAAATAAAATGTTTCTCATCTAATCAGAAACTCCAAAACTATTTAAAAGCAGTAGAAATTCCTTGTATTTGGCATCAAAACTGATACTCACAGAGTGTGCCACAACGTCCACATTATAGACATTCCAGAGGTCCAGAAAACTCAGTCAGCCACAGTTAACCCTACAAAGCAAGTTACATCTGAGGCTTCTATCTTTATTCACATATGTAAAAGGCCATTTCATTTCTTCGGAGCAGGTTGGCTGCCTGTCCCTCATTCTATCTCAGTAAAAATGAGAGCTTGGCACCTGGGAGCCAATTTCCTGACATATTTTGAATTTTTCCATGTTTAACTGCTACTCCCCCTGCCCTGTCCCCAAGTTCCACTTGCTCACGCAAGATTCCATGACAGGAATCCCTCTGTATCCTATCTGCCCATGCTATTTCATTGGATACATGGAATGTTGTTTGTTCCAGCATTGCTCAGGCCATCTCCCATATTTACTACATTGATTATTGTGTCATTGCCACATCCTGCTCTTGCCTTTCCTTCATAATTTCTCAATTTCCAGTTCTGAAGTTCAGCTATCTACCAGTGCCTGCTACTACATGCCTGCAATTCCCATAGATGCCTTGATTATACTTCCTCCTACGCCACTTCCTGTAAGGGCTCTATTTCATTTACTCCAGTTTCTCCATTTCCTTATACCAGTTTGACAATGTCACCTTGCATTGCGTTTCCTCTTTCACTCCATGAAAATTCCTTTTGACAGGGCCACCAACTGTACCTATCCCAATTACCACATTTCCATTTTCACCCATTCTCTTCCCTATTCAAATCATTTTCAAGTTTCCCTTGTCTTCCATGCCACCAGCATCCATATTGAGAGGATCATCCTCTGCCATATGTTAATAGGTCCAGCAGGTTTTGTCATCTTCACTTGGCCAGGTTTTCCATGATTCCATCCTCTCTGTTATACTGTTACAATTGGCACCTGGATCCATTATCACCTCTGTCTGCATTTCACAATCATAGTTTTTTGCAATTTAATCACTGCTGCCCTCCACTATAGCACAAACCTCTTTGTTTGGATCAGGGCAGAAATCCTGCAGTGAATCATTCACTTTCTGAATCAACAAAGCGAATCAACCATCTACATTGCACAAGTCAGGACTATGGTGGAATAGTCCCTACTTGCCTAGAGTGCAGCTTCAACAATATTCAAGAAGCTTGACAACATCCACAATAAAACATCCTGCCTGATTGGCACCACATTCACAAATATTCAGTCCCTGCACCCCTGATGTTCAGCCACAGCATTGTGTTCTATCCATAAGATGTTTTGCAGAAATTCACCTAGGCTTGCTTAGACGGCACCTTCCAAACCCACGAGCACTTACATCTAGAAGGACAAGGGCAGCAAATACTTGGGAACACCACCACCTGCAAATTCCCATCCAAGCCACTCACCATCATGACTTTGAAATATACCACTGTTTCTTCACTGTCACTGGGTCAAAATCCTGGAATTCCCTCCCTAATGGTATTATGGGACTACATTTACAGCACATGGACGACAGCGATTCAAGAAGGCAACTGACCATCACCTTGTTAATCTAACTAGGGATAGGCAATAAATGCTTGCCTAGCCAGCAAAGATCACATCCCATGAGTGAATTAAAAAGAACCTGCCAAGTGGTTCCTGCATTTTCTGTTTTTATTTCCAACTTACATAATACTGTTATTGATCTATGTGAACACCGACAAACCAAAAAAGCTGTTTACCAAAGGACCCCAGCAAGAAAGCCAATGGTCAAGATTTCATTTTTTAACACTTCTATTGTAACAATAAACCCCAAAACAGCAGAGATTAGACATGAATTAACAGGCAAATTATAGCCAATGTTAAATTTCAGAAGTAGACATTAAATGACAAATGTCACAAATCTACGTTGCAATCTACTCACATATGTATCATCACTTTTAGCCCCAGAGTCCTTTAAAACATTGTGCTTATTACAAAGAACTCCAGTGCCTCTTCTTCCGGGATTTAACTTGATCCTCAGCTGACCGCAGCGTACAACCAATCAAGTTCCATGGCACTGACTTCATCAAAACAGCACATGTTTGCAGAAGCTCCTCAACTCTACTTATAACAGTCTCAATTGTGTAGAGCCTTCTTGTAACAGAAATAGCAGCTTTGCATTTACCTATTCTTACCTTATTCTCTGCACAGGCAAGTGTGACTAGTTTAGTTTGGGAAACTTGGTCGGCATGCACAAGTTGGACCGCAGGGTCTTTTTCCACGCTGTTTGGCTCTATCTTTTCTGCCTGCCTGTACTACATTACTGGAATGTCACCCTAGCTCAGGTGGCTGTATGTTCTTTTATCTGGTTTCAGTTTCCGTTGAAATTTTGGTGTCCGGTTTCAGTCTTGGTTTCCATAGGACTAGATGGTTCAGTTCCCCCTTTCAGTTAGGGTCTATCTCAAAAAAAGACAATTTTGAAACTATAGATTCCATCGTAATAAGCAGCATTTTGCTTTTGAAATATTGGAACAGATTTTCCACTGTCCAGACAGTCATTATGCCAGTGTAGACGGATGTTGTGCCTGAAGACTCTGCAGAATCCCCATCATAGCACACTCCAAAGGAATCGACTGGAAAATTGAATTTTCCACTTGGCAACTCCCCTAGATCTGGAGCCCTCCAAAAATCTCCATAAAAATTGGAGATGTCAGATGTTTCCAATGGATTTAAGTGAAATTGTTACTCAGGACTAATTACACTATTAAAGACATTGTTTCCCACCTACTTCCATCGTCCTTACCAGACTCAAAAAACCCCACTCCGCTATGGGACCTGACAATACTCCAGACCTAACCCAACTCTCAACACCACTCCACTCACCATCAGACATGACCCAACATCTCCGCCACCAAACCCGACCATCCATTCTCCTTCCCCTACATACCCAATCTAACACCCTCCCCCAACTACCCAATAGACTGAACATGTCTAACCTGAAATCCATCCTTCCAATTTCTCCGGTACATCCCAACCTATCCTAAATACTTGTCCAGCATCCTACCCACCTGGCAATCTACAACATTTCGCAGAACATCCTAGCCAGCTGGCACCCTATGCCATCCCAGCTGGTACCCTACACATCTAGCATCCTACTGCCCAGCACCCTATTTACCTGTCAATCTGCTTGGCTGTGTGAACCTTTAAATATCAGAATATGGCAGCAAACTGCTGTGAAAGGGGTGTGGTCTGCTTTCCTCTGACATTGTTGCACTGTGTAAGAACAGTCAAATTGGAAGTACAGCTCCCTTCTTCTGAGGGAGAGTTAAGTAGAACCTCCTGTCCGAAATGCAGAGTCCCCTTCTTTCTGCATGCAATTGCCACTCCATGGAAAATCAGGGCAGTTAGCTACCTGGTTTTAATCATGCACATTTGTTAAGATTGGATTTAAAACCCATGATGCCCTTTGACCTTTAATTACACTACACTTTTTTCAATTTATTTTAAGAAAATGTTGCAGGTCAGCTGTTGAAACAAACGTGTTTGTAGGCTGGATTTGTTTGTTCAGCGAAAATAGGTACAAGAGATGTTATCAGAACAAATCATTTCATTATGACCAAGTAACTTTTTTTTCACAGATGCACTAAATGACAGGAAATAGTCTAAGATTATGTTCAGAACTGAATCGACAATCAGTTTTGCACCACTACCCAAGACATACTTCTATCCTTGGAGATTTGTTACTTAAACAATTTAAAAATTATTGAATGAAATAAACAAAACAACAAAAAAAGTTTCAAAGCAAATACTATCGTGAAATGAAGAAAGTTACAAATAACCGAGTCAAAAATAAACTAGTCCTGTCACCAAATGCATTTAAATACAAATGTATGATTTAGCACGACACATCCACTTCAATAGCAGGAAGATTTTTTACCCTGGGACTAAAAGATACAAGAGAGCTCAACAGTCTAATGAGAATTGTCATGCGACAATAATGAAGCCTCCGAGAACTGCAAACATGACATAAGGTGTCATAAAGCTTATGGGTTTATTTACCTTGGGAAAAAGGGTCATTATCAAGCTCTGATGTGTAAGAAAGGTTCCACCTTTGCATATGGAAAAGTACAGTCTAATTTATTTGACAGGCTTTCTGACAGCATTTATACAGCAATCCCTACCTTGTTAAAATGCATTATGTTTACTGTTGTGCTTAAACAAATACAATAAGTAAGTTAGAAAGAATTCACAAAGGAGATTTTTAAAGGCACACTGAATTCAATGGATCACTGAATTGTGCACTGTAGCAAATGGAGTACCTAACCCTGGCTGACTCTTCAATGCAGTAGTAAGGGAGAGTGAGGATGTACCTTCTTTTTGCTGAAATATTAAACTATAGCTGGAAAAATAAGTGAGGGCAGGTGAAATAAAAAGGCAATTCACCCTTAATGCTAATGCCATGTTTTGTCTTGTTGATTTTTCTTAAGATCAATTGCTATCACTGAAACGCTGCACCACATCAGAACAATGCATAGTGTACTGCCTTGTAAACACTGAAGAATGTTTAAGAGCCATTACTAGAGTGGCACAACAAACTATTAGGTGCTGGAATGTTCTAAGCACTAACAATTGTGGCTCCTTCTTGAGGGATACTGAGAACAGGGAAGTTAGAATTCTGACTTTATGATACATTATTAAGCACTGTATCATTTACAAAGAAATACATCGTAATGTATTGCTTTATTTGATCCTATGAATGTTTGTTATGTTAAACTCATTAATCACCAAAGGACTTGTGACAAAGGACATATGAGAAGGATGGTATTAGCCCCAAGAATGGGCTTGATCCATCAATTTAGCTTCATGCAGTTCCAGTGCGCTTTTCATGCCAATGACTCCTAATGTGGCCTTTTCAAATGCACTCGTGCATTTAATATAATGGACCATTCCTGTTGTGTCACTAGTCTTTTGTTGTGCCAGGTGGATAGTTGAGTGAGTAAAAACATCAGAAGAGTACAAAATTACACTCCAAGTGACCGTTTTGCAGCCCATTCTGACTGTGACCATTTGAATTATGTAGCTAGAATTTGTTGGAAGATTTTCTTGGCTGAAATCCTTTTCTGATTTCAATGAATTAATAGTTTCAAGTAAGGGCTTCAATGTGTTATCAAAATGGGCATGTACGACAAGCATTCAAGGGACACTGTGTTAGCATGGGTATGCGAGGAAGGACTTTAAGATGTTCTATCTCATCATGAGCTTGGTGTAAAGCAATGACTCCTATCGTTTATGATTTGAAGCTGAAACTTCATGGAATTATCCAACTTAGTTATTCGAGTTATAATGTTGAGTGAATTTGATAGGGACCAACAAGAGATGGGCTCCAGTTTTTATTACAATGGACAGAAGTTGGTTTTCCTTAAGGTTCGATCCCTTGTTACAGTGCCACTCTACAGGCCAGTTTAATCATTTACTGGTTTATTTTAAGAGAGTAGACAGGTTAGGATTCCCAAGTCCCATCCCAAACCTGGAATTTTTCATCTTCACAGTAGGGTGGTCTGTGGTCCACTCGTGTATTTCCCAGAGGCACCGGGCCATTTAAATGACGACCTGCCTCCACTGAAATTGGATTTTGTCGTTCCTGGTATCTGGAACCCAGAGTGTAGAGATTAGGTCAGGTAATAGCAGTGCATTTCATTTGCATAACTAGGGTACTGTTTTAGAGAGCTGGATTACCAAAAGAAATATTCTTACAGCACATTGTGGTAATGAGGTGGGTGGTAGGGGGAGGTATCAGGAAGTCTATGGAGGGTGAGGCAAGGTGCTGTTATTAACTGTGCAGAAGATTGTGAGTAAAATGTACATAAATCTTTTGGAACTGTCAAAATTGTCAAAACCCGTCAGTAAGTGTCAACCACTGTCAACAAAAGTCAAGACCTGTTAAGAATTGTCTCAAAGTAAAAACAAATGTCAAGCTGTCAAAAAGTGTCAAAGTGATTTTTTTTGAATGAGAGTTCTTTTTTCAATAATTTTCATCTGAATTCTTTTCTGTTTGTTTCTCTCTTCCAGTTTCTCTCCTAACATCAGGACACTTCTGCAAAAGAAGAATCACTCTGAGAATGTGAGAAAAAAAATGCTGACCTCACAAAAAAGCTGTCAGGAAATCTGGAAAGTGTGCTGAAGAGTTTCACTAATATCGCTGGGATCCTTGGGCACATTTCATCTCACTATGGAGGGATTATTGTATTGAGTGAAAAAAATGCTTTGAAGAGGTTGGTTACCTTTTCCAATAGGCTCTCCTTCAGTTCATTGAACGCAATGACACCCAGCCAAAAGGGAATCGAACAGTAGACAAAGAATGCTGGAGATCACAGCGGGTCAGGCAGCATCCATTAAGAGAAAGCAAGCTGAACATTTCGAATCTATATGATTCTTCATCAGAACAAGTTTTTTTTTAAATGGGAGTGAGTAACTGAACTCTCATTTGCCCTTTCCAGCAACCATTACCCCAACATGTCAGCTGGGCCAAATTGTCTCCAAACTGTCTCCCATAGTAACTCAATTAATGCAGCCTGCAACCTGCCCTCAACAAGTTTGCATATCCAATAGTTATTGTTTGATTTGATTTGATTTATTGTCATCTCATGTACCTAAGTACAGTGAAAAGCTTTGTTTGCGAGTAGTACAAGCAGATCATAGTAAACAAGGACATACATATCACAGGGTGCTTGGACAGAATAAGGCATACAGGGTACATGGCACAGAAGGTACGTGAAGCAAGATCAACATTAGCAAGATTTACATTATTGCTAATTAAAGTTAACAAGCCACATGGATTAAGACTTTCCACAGCAGGAGCTGCAGGCTTCTTCTAATTGTCACCGAGATGATTATGACAAATCACCTAAATGATTATCTTGTTTTGCATTAAAGTAATTATCTTTATCACATTGACACCTTTGTATGCTATGTTGTTTTCAAAGCAGCTTCAGGATTTACATTACCAGAATGTAATTGATATGTCTGACTAGTTCTTCAACCAGGATGAACGGATTATAAAACAATGTAACAAAGGAGCTAAGTATGTTCCGTGAGCAGTGGTGTGAGAAACACAGCAAAATCACAGGCTGCAAGGTGGTTGTATGGCCCTTATTTCTCAAGTGTTTCCTGCATCCCACAGTTTCCTCATTTGATGCCAACTGCTACTGCAGCTCTTCTCCAATGTGAGATTTTTCTGTATAATGCTCCATCTGCCTCAAAGCATCTCTCATGCATTTTGTTGAAATGCAGCCACTGTTATTCTTGATAATTGAGGGCAGGATCAGGCTTCTGCAGCGATAACTTCTACAATCGAAACAGCAGTGTTCTCTGTCAAGGGTTACATCTGACCAGTTATTGGTGAAGTGCCAAAGGTGAATGGTAGACATTTAAATGAGGCAATGGAGAGGAGGCCGACCAATGAATTGCAAAGAAGGCACAAGTTGTAAATTGAGAAAAGACACATTGGCATTGTTAGTCCAAAAATTACATTCATCACCACTCATTTACGTTAAATATGAAACCATCAATAGGCATCATCCTTGCCTGACTTGTATTTGGATACTGGTATCCATCTTTGTTTCGCTTTAATGTTCGCAAGTTATTAGGACCACGAACGTGGAGAAGCATCACTAGGTTTGTTATAATGTTGACTCCTTTAGTACCTCACTTGATACAATTGATGCCATTTTAGCACAGCCTCACCCTCTTTGATGTGAGGCCATTCCAGTCTTCCAATTTGCAATCTTTCCCAGTGTTGCACTGCTGCCCGAGATCTGAAGCAGAGACCCACCACCCGAGTCATATATCACCAAACTGTCTGCCAGTGTGGTTGCTGCCACAACTGTCACTGGACAACATCCTCCTGGGATGATGCCACTGCCGGCAGGATGATCCTGGACACAACTGAGCTGTCCCTATCATCCCCATGTGGCCTGTCAGCCCAACTTCCCACAATCCACCAGGAGTCAGCAGGACTGAGCTCAGCAGCACAATCTCACCTTTCGAATACCCACAAGACACCGATATGAAAGCTCAGCAGTAGTCCCACTCCAAGGCAACATCTGAAACAGAGGGGCCTGTGTAGCCAAAGGGAGCACCCACACCAAACAGTAGACAAGCAGACACCCTATCACCAGGCAGCAGTCACAATGCAGCCAGTTACAAGTGATAGCCACATTCAGTATCTCACAGGCCAGTAAGTGAGAGCCACACAATGCAGACATCTCACAGTCAGCCATCGGGCTCTTCAGTATTTGCATCCAGTACAAAAAGTACTGTAAATAAAATGGTACAGTTTTGTTTTACTTCTTTAAAAGGTGTTTATCAGTTCTTTTGTTGACTAATGTTGAAATTTGGTCGTTTATAGCACAGGTAGTGGTGTTTTTCAACTTGGGGAGTAAAAGTAAACTGAAGCCTTCTTGTGGTACTGATAGTGTCCCTACTCCTGGATGGAGAGGCATAAGTTCAAGTCCCACCTGTTCCAGAGGTGTGCAATAACCTCTGTGTTGATTAGAGAAATATTTAAATTTAAAAATGTAAAGTTATTTTGTTCTCCAGAAGAAACCACGACAGAACCAAAGTCCAATTTTAACATTGATTCCCACAAATGTTTCACTTAAAGGGTCCTCACTTAGTCACAATTTTCAGAAATGCAACCCCAACTTTAAGTGAGGACAGCGATATATCTCAGATAACAAGGTGTAGAGCTGGATGAACACAGCAGGCCAGGCAGCACCAGAGGAGCAGGAAGGCTGACGTTTCCAGTCTGGACCCAGAAAGTTATTTCAGACTCCAGCATCGGCAGTTCGTACTATCTCTCAGCGATATAGCTCAGTTTCGGCCTCCAAAAATGGACAGCCTTGTTTATTCCACATGAGGCAAGAGAACATTGGCCCCACACTGCGTGCAGTTTGGGACAGTGTTAGGCAGTATTGGCTCCACCCCCCCCCGGCTGGGACGGTTTTAGCCCCGCCCTACCCCCCCCCCCCCCCCCCCCCCCCTCCCCCCCCCCCCCCAAGATTGTGCCGGTTTTAGCCCCGCCCTACCCTACCCCAAGATTGCGCCGGTTTTGGCCGCACCCTCAAAAGTGGTGTCATCTTAGTCCCGCCCCGCCCCCAGAACGGGGCAGTCTAGGCCCCGCCCCCATCGCTCGCCTAGGTTGGGACAGTGTAGATGGTAGCGCGCTCCGTCTGTTACGTGGTGACGGAAGCACGGTGGATGAGGGAACCGCGAGCAGGTCGGCGAAGAACAACAGGGAGGATCGGCGGCGTTCGGGGATGTCCGTTCCCTGACAGAGGAACCGAGCCGGTGCCCGCAACATCTCAACGATTGTTTGTGGCCGGCCATGGAGGGGCCGTTGCCGCCGCTGCTCCTTTCGCGTTTGTTAGTCAATAACCAGCCGTTCGAAGTCACCTTGACCGAGACCGTTTTTTCTTGGCAGCCGCTCCGTCCGAAGAACGCCTCGTCAGCCGGAACGGGTGAGTCAGGAACCGCCGTCTCGGTGTCGTGTGTTATTCACCCGCAAGGACAGAATGAGCAGCTAGTGGGTCTTTAGAAATTGAGGTGGGGGGCGGAGGTGGAATGCCTTTTACTTTGTGTCACCCCCTCTTTAACCTCCCTTCTCCCCGCCCCCCCCGTTAGTGAAACAGTCACCTGCTGGAGTCAGATCCAAGGTCAGAAAGTGGGTCTGGCTCTCTCCTGTACGCAGAGATCGCCCCTGTCATCGTGTGAAAACAACACCTTATGATAAAGCAGAACAAAGAACTGTCGATACTAAAAGATCTGAAAGGGGAGGGGGCGGGGAACAAGAAACCATTAGAGAAACTGAGCCGGTCTGGCAGCGATAGTGAACGTTTCCAGCCCGGTGACCTTCAGACAGAAGAGTCCAAAGAAGGATCACTGGACTCTAAAAGTTAGCTCCTCTTTCTCTCCACTTTATGATCAAGGTCTTTTAACTGTGCCCTGAAATCCGAGGGCTCCAAACCTGCCTGTTGGCTCCCACTTCAAACCCAACGTCAGGAGTTGCCTGCTTGTGTTGAAGTTCGCCACTTTAAGTTCCAAAGAAAAGTTGAATGGACTTTACTCAAAGGACTTTAGGCTTATTTCTTACCACCGTGCTCTTGTCGCGATTTTCTCCTTCTGACTTATTTCCTATGTTATAAACATACGTTAAATTGTAGTTCTACGAAAGAATTCGTACTTTTCTCAGTTACTCTAGAAATCTCAAAGCTCGTTAAATATTTTGCCGTATAATATTTTAAGTTCTTTCTTGGGCTGTGAGCGTCTATGCAAGGCAAGCTTTTGTTGTTCATCCTCAATAGCTCTTGAGAAAATGGTGGTTTTCAGTTCCTTTAGAATTACAGGAAATAATATTGTACTATGCAATTTGTTAAGTTGATCAGAAGATCAAGATTTGAATATGTTTTCTTGATAATAGTGTTGTGCATATTTAACCCAGCGTTGTTCTCTCAAACGCTTCAGTGGTGTTACCTTCACAGAAAACTAGGTAGCTAACTTTTGAGGTCTCCTTGATTGATTTTGAACCAAGCATTCCAAAAAAAAGTTAATCTGAAATCAGTACTTTAAGTAATTTGTGTTCATTTGATTAATAGATAATAAGATGTTCTGGCTTCACAGCAGAATGCTCTGCACAAAACAGAAGGCAAACCTTTATCTTTCTAGCTTTCTATATGACTTCGTGAAATTTGGTGTTTGAGAATTGGAAATGAGAACTCACATTGGAATCACTTTACTTAATAGATGAAATTAAATGCGCTCACTATTTCAGATTAACTGTTTGTTAAGTCAGCCATTCAGACCTGAAACATCAAGTTTGATGTTAGGCTGTGTATAGTTTAGAACAGGGTATTGTTATGATTGCACAAGCATCTCTGGATAAGCAATTTTCTTTCTTGCTTATTGTACAGCAACTCCAACAAGGAGGAAACGTGGATCTATGGATAAATGTTTTCAAATCAGCCTGTTCAGAGATGATATGACACACCTCTGGAGCAGGTGGGACTTGAACCTGGGTCTGCTGGCTCAGAGGTAGGGACATTATCAATGTGCCACTTGAGTCCTCATTGCATCTATAGATTTTTTTTTTGTAACCAGCCAGTTCAGAGATATTAATACACACCTCCGAGCAAATGGGACTTGAACCTGGGCCTTCAGGTCCAGGGAGAGGGTCACTGTCACTGTATTTGAAGGCTTGGGATCATCTATGGATTTTTCTAATCAACCTGTCCAGAAATGTCATTATGCACCTCTGGAGCAGGAGGAACTTGAACCCAGTCCTCAGGGCCCAAAGGTTTGCCATTACCAGTGCACCACTCGAGTCCTCATTGCATCTATGAATTTTTTTTTCTAATCAGCCTGTTTAGTAATGTTATTATGTACCTCTGGAGCAGGTGGGACTTGAACCCAGTTCTCTCAATTCAGAGATAGGAACACTATCAATTCACCACAAGAGGATCCCCATCTACGGATATTAAGTGGGACAGATATCTCCTTCAGTGAAATTCTCCAGCATTCCCTCCGTCCACTAACCCTTACTGTCAAGGCTTTGAATTAATAATTGTACTTGAGGAAAGCAGAAAATCTGTATCTAATGGGCCATAAAACATTAAAGCATTGAGTTTTGGTGGAATTCAATAAAAAGAACTGCAGTAAAAAGTTTGCCTAACAGCTTTGCACAGAGAGATCTAGGTGTTCAGGTCCATTGTACTCTGAAGGTGGCAACACAGGTCGATAGAGTGATCAAGAAGGCATACGGCATGCTTTCATTTATCGGAAGGGGTATTGAGTACAAGAGTTGGCACGTCATGTTCCAGTTGTATAGGACTTTGGTTTGACCACATTTGGAATACTGCGTACAGTTCTGATCGCCACATTACCAAAAGGATGTGGATGCT